AGAAGGACTAACGGAGTGCATTTCGTATAGTTGAGGGATCAAAAAAGTGCAAAAAATTGTTAAGGGACCAAAAATGTGCAAACCACTAAAGTTGAGGGACCAAATCTAGCATTTAACCATAAAACAATATATATTATTTTGCTGATAAAAACAGATATTTATGGTCTAAATATATTATTTAATATTGACAAATTGCCCAAAGATAATAAATTGAACAATTCAAAGGTCTTCTTTATGAGTTTAATATAAAAAACATCTCCATTTTTTTTTTCATCTCTCACGTTTATTAGAAACTAAAAGTCGCAAGAAAACGATCGGCTTCTCTCTCAATCTAAATCAAATCCTAACTACCTCGTATGCTTACTAATTATTAACTACGCGAGTTCAGCATGAAAACGAAACATCGGCAGTGCGAGGACGGCGCCACTACCAGTTAAGATTATAGAAATTGATTAATCTAACCGTCCAACATCACCATAGCTATTAAAGGGTCGGAAGTGTAAATCCATCAATCGTATAATTTCGAGACTTTTACCATTTTGGATCGCTAGCACTCATCACAATCATCTTTCGAAAGTAATAAGTTCTCGATCGATCAATCCGTTACTTAATGAAGTCCCAATTCCCATCGTGCAAAAAACCAAAATCTTACGACAGTAATACGCACGTAATCTATTTGTTTAATTAATCAAGCGAGATGGTTAATTAATATCTTTGGCTATAAATATAGGATCGATCAAAGAGCCGATTTCATTCTAGTTCTCAACCTCTCTCTCTCTCTCTCTCTCTTATATCAAAGCGCTCTCTATCCAATCCAACACAATGGCGACCATCTTTCAGAATAAGAGGATTGAGAGAAATGACACTGGAAATAGGATGAGGTTTCCTAGTGAAGCCAATTTGACAAATCTTCCATTTAGTTGCAACAGCCCCGGCCAGTTCGGAAGCTTGACAGTTACAGACGAGGGGGGTGCCCAGAAGATGCTTACCATAGAAAATCAGCGCGGACAGGTATGTTTCACTCGGGGGTGGAATGCATTCAGAGAGGAGAAAGGCATTACAGTTTCACGAGATCTCCCTTTACAAAGATGATGAAACTGATCAGTACAGAATTATAGTGGAGTGAAACTAAGAAAAGGGATGGTTTTTTTTTTTTTTTTGAACAGCAAAAACTTTATTGAAAATGAGTACAAGGGGTACTCAACCCAGGACATCACACAAAACAGCACCAATCCCAGCCACAGAGTGTTAATTCCATCTTTCAGACTATTTCCTCCCTAGTTTTTACCACCACAATTAACAGTGAGGCATGCAATAGGATTGCTTAACCAATCCAAAAGACTAAAGTAACACCAGGCTATTTTTGCTTTAATCCATAAAAAAGATCGAATTTGAACCAGATCGAAAAGCTTACCCGAGTTCACCTCTTGGTTCTGGAAGACCTTTTTATTCTGCATCAGCCAAATGGACCATACTATTGCGCTCCAGGTGCAGTCCCATCCTTTTCTGATCTTTATGTTTCTGGTCCAC